CATTTCTCTCCCTCCAAACACGGCGAGTCGAGTTAATGCCTCATCTGCAGCCAGCACTTTCTCCCAAGCCTTCTCTGAATAATTTAGATGTTCTTTGGCAAACTTTAAACGGGCCTGTATGGTGGGACCTTGCGGGCGCTGCAGGATTTCAGTCCATTGCGGCGTAGTGTGTTACCAATGTTTTGCTTGCTTACTGTGGTACCAACTGCCTTAAGATCATTAACAAGCTCATGTGGGAGCCAGAATTCTTGCTGGTTGGTAGGGGATCAAATACTTATTTCACTCACTGAAATGCAAACCAATCTCTAACCTTTATATAATGTGTTTTTTTTTTCTGGATTTTTTGGTTCATATTCTGTCTCTATCCATTAAAATAAACCTGCCATAAACATTACAGACCCTTCATTTCTTTGTAAGTGGGCAAATTAAAAAAATTAACAGGGGATCAAATAAATATTTTCCCCAATATATTAATTAATGCAGTGGTATATATATATACACATATATACCAATGCATTAATCAATGCATTGAGACAGTAATTATCATACAGGAGACTCTAATCTCATCCCTTTCCACACTTTTAAGACTTTCTGTTGCCAATACACACAAACATCAGGGAATTGTGTGCATAGTTTATTTTTCCATTTAATTCTCCATAAGGCATTGAGCATTGCACCGCACCCATGTAATCACAAACATTCTTGCATGTATTATGTGCTTTGTGAACCTGTCAATGTAATGCAGCTTTGCAAGAAGGCTGTTATTTAAGAATTGGATTGTTCAAACTTGACTGTAGCTGACAGCAAATCTACAGTTCATAGTGCTGTATATCATTTCACGTGAAGAGGCAGCATAAATAGAAGTCGTCATGTACAAATAACAAATAAACAGCTCATTTCATTCAAAGGGTCAGAGAGAAGGTCATGAACAACTCATGCATGATATATATGACCCCTTTAGTTTTTTAGATGTATTAACAACAAAGCAAATAACAGCACTGTAAGCATAAATCCTACACAAAGCATAACAAGTCTCTCTGCAAATGCTATTGTACTATTGCCTTCTACAGAGAAGATTACTATTAGTGAGCCTGACCTCTCCTGCAACTGCTGCCCTGTCTCACTCAATTAGACGTATGTGTCACAATATGCTGCTGGAAGGAACGATGGAGATGCAGATAACATAAACGGTATTTAATAAGAGAATCACAGGGGTAAATCCACAACAGGAACAGGGGTAAACGCGTAATCCAACAAGTAGACCCGACAAAGACAGAACGCAAAGGCTGAGACTTAAATACATGGGGTAATTAGAACTAACCAACAAGACACACCTGAATCAAATGAACCATCAACGAGAGGGAGAAACTGGGTCACGGAGCACATGTGGAGGGAAAACACAACGAAGACAGTCCAGGGCCGTGACAGTATGTTTCAAAAGGAAAAAAGTGCCTTCATAAATGCACATATAGTATGTAAATATCTATGTGTTACAACGGAGACAGGGATGAATATGGATCTTTCATGAGCAGGTCTGCATCATCTTGCCTGCTTACTGTATGTATGTGCACAGATAACAGAATACAGAAACATGCACAAAGTAATTCCCAGGCAACTGCAGTCAGCCGCAGCACATGAGGCCGCGTTTTGAAGGCTTTTTAAAGGAGCTTGACCTCTCCCTGAATCTTGGGAGAGCAAGAGAGACACAAGAAAAAAAATGTGAAAGAGTATGTGACCTCTTGCTGTTATTGGGCTCTTCTCTCCACAGATTTGTATTTCTTTGTTTTATTATTATTTCTTTATTTACAGTGATGATAAATGACACTTACAAGTGAAAGTGAAAGGTTGCATTAATTATATACAAAACCATTCAAAACTTTAGCTTATTACTTCTGTAATATTTTTTAATATATTTATTTCACCAAGGCTGCATTTATTTAATCAAAAATACAGTAAAACTGTAATATTGAAATATATTATTACAATTTAAAATAACTATTGTTATTTATTCATGTGATGCAAAGCTAAATTTTCAGAAGCATTACTCCAGTCTTCATTGCCACATGAAATCATGCTGATACACTGATTTGACGTCCAAGAAACATTTCTTATTGTTATAATATTTAAAACAGCTGTTTTTTTTTTTTTTCAGGATTCTTTGATGAAAAGAAAGTTCAAAAGAACAACATTTATTTGAAATAGAAATCTTTTGTAACATTATAAATGTCGTTATTGTTGTATTTGATCAATTCAATGCATCCTTGTTAAATAAAATAATGAATTTCTTAAAAATATATATTTTAAATGGTAATGTATTTTTACACTTTTGGTTATTGGTAAACATCATTCAATTTCAGAGGTGAAAAAAGCTACATTTCTTATTTAGCAAGGATAAGCATTTTATTAGAATAATGTGCACAATATTATGCAAAATTAAGACCAGGAATGTGTATTAAGAAAGTAAATGGGATCAGGTTTGATTGATGTCAACCTTAATAGCTAAACTGACTTTTAAACAACCCTTTAAAGGGGTATTATTAAGATCAAGATAGTTAACTCACATCCATAAACTCCACATTGGCTTTAGGTCCTGTACTTTCATTGAGTATCTTTATAGCCACTGGAATCTTCACCGTTTCCCCTTCTGGAACCCAGATTCCCTTATAAAGAAGACATCAGAATTAGCCAACAAACCCTCAAATCATATAAAACAACAAATGCTGACAGAAAGACACAATAAACATAGAAGTGCTACCTTATAGACCATGCCAAAGGCTCCAGTTCCCAAAATCTTGACTCTCTTAAGTTCAGTTTCCTTCAATATACGCAGCTGAGCCTTGTTTGGTGGTGTACCACTGGGCGTCAATGGCTCCACCAACTGCTTAAACAACCAAGCCTTAGATCAGTCACAACTTTTGAACGCACAAATACACAGAGCTCCAAAACAAGCTCTTAGAAGTTACATTTAACCATATTTTCAGAATTAAGTTTGTTTATGCAGTAGTCATTAGGTCTCAGAAGGGAAAAGAAAGATGTTACTGGATATTTGGAGAGTAAACAGTTGTGAAGGGAACCAAGCTAATGAAGATAAGAGGAGTAGAGAAGAGGGAATGGTTGAAAGGATGTACAGAGATATAATTGCTAAATACAAAGTGGCATTTGTAGTTTCAGTAGGGCTGGAGCTGCTTGCAGGGGAAAAATGCCTGTGTGTGTGTGTGTGTGTGTGTGTGTGTGTGTGTGTGTGGAATCTTGGACTTGTTTAGTATCTTGTGTTCAACAATAAACAGATTTCAGACCTTTCTAAGAAAAAGGCAGGTTTTTTTCTAGCTTATATGAGTGTTAGGAAATTAAAATGTAAATTAGTATTAATGTAAGCACAGTGGTGTGGTGCAGTGGTTCTAGATCTGGCTGTAAACCAAAGAATTGCAGGTTCAAACCCCATAAAGATTGATCCACGAGCTACCATCATTGTGCCTATGGTTAGGAAACTCAAAGATCAACAAAAAAATAATAATCCACCATTATTTCCTCATATTCATACTGTTCCAAACGTGTTTATCTTTCTTTATTTTGTGGAAATAAAGAACTTTAGCAGAATGTACAAAGTGCTCTTTTCCTACTTGACAATTAGGCTGCTACATCACAATCAAATAAAATAAAATAAATTAAACATATTGTAAAATAATGTGATATATATTATGAATATGGAACAATTATGGAGTTGAATGAATGATTATATATTATACTGGGAATTGTCCCAGTAATAAGTACAGCAAATGACATCTTGGTTCTTGTTGTTTCTCTGAATTGAGGAATTAAACCCTTGATAACAGTTAAAATAATGATCTTTCGTCCCTGGATACACTGTTTTTATTTATGAGAACGAAGGGGGAATCTTCCAGCATACCTTATTATACAGACAGTCCACTCAGCACTTCCAATCTTAGGTAATGGAAAAGGCACTTTTATAGTGACACTTTAATTTGTATATGTAAATTTGGTTAGCCATTATTCGGGGCTAACTGTTAATTTAAGTGACCAATCACAGCACAGAACGGAAGGCACTTTGTTTTATGGAAGTGGAGACTGAACACACACAATGTGGAGCTGTCCATCTCTGTGGTGCTGAAATCCAGCATTCAGACTGAGCATTAGAGGGAGCTGTCCAGATATGTGGTGCTGAAACAGAAACATCTGTCAAACATATAATTGATTTTTTTTTTCTCACTGTAAAAGGACAGTGTATGAGTAGTTTAATATTATTATAAAGCTTTCAGCTGAAGTAAAGGAATGTTTCGGATTCAACATATCTTTATCAACAGAATTTCAACTCTTCCCTCCATTCAAGCTAAATAAATAAATAAATGAAAATAAAAATAAAGCATAATGGAGGTATATGGGGAGAGGAATTTAGAAGAGATTAAATCAGAAATGTGCAGCTTATATTTTATTATGTAACTTTTATCAACTCTTTAGTGTAAAACTGATCTGTACAGTTAGCTATATTTCCAAAATAACATGTATTTTAACATTTTCAGAGGTAACTGGCAAACATTCGACAGATGCATGTTTTATTAAAACACTGGGTGGTCTAGACCTTTCCTTATCTGCTTCCTTTTGGCAGAAACATACAACTTTCTACTTGAACAGAGGCCTCAGGTTTGCTAACATGGATTTCAGGATTCTAGTGCGTGAGTGTCTCTGTCAGCTTTTGGATACAGGGCATCTTCTCAGGCTGACAGCTGTCTATAACACTGATGCTCCACCTGCAAATTATCCAAACCAGTATAGACAGACCATGTTTTTTAATAGGCTGCACAGTCATTCAGGGCAACAGGGCTATGCATTAACCCAACAAACCTGCCATGCATTTAAGGAAGGCCCTCCACTGAATACTTTATGGGCTGTGTGCTGGGGAATTTTTAAGCATGCAGCTCACCAAGAAACGAAACGAAACAAAAAAAAATCTGTAGACAGGGAAGGATTTTGATGCAATGTGACAGACAGAAGAGACAGAAGATATGATGCATAATGTATAAAATGTTTCTGTTTTAGTCAGTGCTTACTGATTTAACTAAACTTATGAGAACAGGCTTCTCTCACCTCAGTCTCTAGGAAACGACGTAAAGCTCTCTTTTTCTTAATGCTCTTTCTGCGGATGTAAATGGCCACACCCAGAGCTATGATGACCATTACAAAGAGACCCCCGATTAACCCAGCTGCAATCAGAGGAGTCCTGGAAGATCACAAGAAAATAAACAAATTTTACTGCTATGCATGCTTTATCTCCCAAACCAGATAAGCACAAATCCCACCCCATACTTTCTATTTTATTTTATTAGTTCAATATTTAATTTAATTTAATTTAATTTAATTTAATATTTTATTTTATTTTGTTTTATTTTTTTAATTTAATTTAATTTTCCAAATATTCTTTCAGTGCATGAAATATTTTTATTAGCCTTTTTTTTTAACTGTAATTTTTCTATGGCCAAAGCTGCATTTGTGAAAACTCTTACCTGTCCAACATGCCAACACAATCCTGTACCCGGGGTCCAGTACAACTGCAACACATAGAATATCTTATCATAAGTTACAATCAACATATTTGAGTTACATTGCAACAGACTGGTAGATTAAAGCAATAAAACACCATGGTGGTATTTCTTATACTGTCTTAAATGATTAAAACAAAATGAGTAGCCGTAAAGGTGCTGTATGTAAGTTTTTTACTCTACTAAAGCATAAAAATACCATAATATGTTTGCAGATATTTAAGAAACATGCTAAGTTAACATACTTGTTTATCTGAAAAACAATGCTACAGTCAGTTATTCTCCTTTGAAAATGTGCGTTCCGGGCCGGAATGTCGGTCACTGTTTTGGTTTGTGAAACCCGCCCACTGCCAGTTTACCCAATTGTATTTCGGCACCCCGGGTTGCCAGTTGGCGGAAAACACAGTGCATTTCATTTCATTCATCGTCATGCGCGCTCGTTCCTGTTGGTGTCGTCAATCTGGCAACCTGCATGTGCGTCAAGTCTGAGGAGGAGGGGCCGGGTGAAAAACCCCCTCTCCAATATTTTGAATTTGGACTGCAATACCTAGTTCAACCACTCGGTGTCAATCCTACATACAGCTCCTTAAAAAAAAAAAAGTAGCATAATAAACTCAATGGGCAGATACATTAACGTTATGTTAATTTAGAAGTAAAAAAAAGTGCTTAACTGTTATGAAAATGACACAATGTTAAAAATTTATTTTTTCCAAATTGTTATAATACAATTATACAATAATTTTTACTTTTTTTAATAGCCTTAATTTATTATATGCAGAAGTGTTTGAGTAGTGAATTTTCAACCAACAAGGGCATGAAAAGTGACTTACAAACTAAAAGCTCAAGCTTCTACATGTTAATAATTTTGCATATTATTGGGTTTAGGCAACTCATGTAACAAAGAAATTTCAGTCTTTAATGTTAAATATGTTTTGTTCAAAAAACTATTTTATCGCTGTGTTGGGCCATCACTTGATGTCCAGTGTAAAAATCTGGGTCCTGCAGCAAAACCAGTTTTGAATCACTGATCTAGGAAGTCAGGAACCTGTTCTCTCCGCTCTCAAATCCCCCAGGCCCATGTGTCTAAGACTGAATTCGGTAACCACAAAGGCTTTACCCACATGGGCAATTAGGTTAGTGCTCTGGGCATATTGTGCTTGACGCAGTTAAAGGAAGGAAATAAGCTTACAAATAGATTTAAGTGCAAACACAAGCAAACAGTTGTACCCCTGGGTGCAGTTGGGGTGGCAGGGATGGCACTCGTTGTTGGTCTCAGCATATTTGAAGATGAAGCTGTTTGCTCCCTGCAGACCATCAGGGCATTTCTCTACACAGTTGGGTCCATCTTTGAGATGCAAGCACTTCAGACAGTGATCTGGACCCTGTAATGGGAGAAGAGAGAAAGACGGAAGATTAGGAAAAGTGTCTCAAGAGACTGGAGTACTGTTTTACAAGTGGAAAGGAAGTTTTTAGTGAAACAAGCACAGTCATGTAGATTCTGCTACCCGGGTTAATGTTTATTGAATATATTCCGGTTCAGATTGGGCTCGGTTTTGTAACTATAAAGTAAAACTATATGCTCTGCTTTCATTAATGCACACACATGGATCACTCGCACACAGAGATTGGAGATCGTGCTGTGCGCGCACAGAAACATTCAGGAGCACACAAACTTGTTGTCAATGCTGCACCGCGACTTTAATTAATAAAATAGCTTCGATACTGAATTGCTACATTATATTTCTCAGCAACGAGTGGGTAAAATCACTGTTTCTGTCTCTCTATCTCTCGATCTCAATAATATAATTCAAATAAATGCATTCATCCATTCAAATAAATGTGATCTTACCACACTGCTTCATCTCTGTGTCTGATTTAAAGCGGGTAGCGAGCATTTCTTATTATTATATACTGTATACACAATAATTTCTTAAAAGGTTCTTACCCCAAGCTTTAGAATGGTTGTGTAAATCTATAGCATTTTTTCACCTTTGTACCGCCCAATAAACAAAAATCTTAAGTCCAATTGGTAAGTAAAAGCACATCTATCTTCAAAAAATACATTATTTTACGTATCATTCATATCCATAGCACAGATGCAGGACATTTGGGACATGCACCAGAGTCTTATACTTAGGGGTTTGCCCAAATTTAAGTATAAAAAATGTTAAAGGCATGAACCAACAATAAACAACCTTTTTGCAACAATAATATGTATCTGCGTGATACAGCATGGTTAGCCAAGGCTTGCAACATCTACTACAGTCTGACAATGATATATTTTGAATAAGGCTACAGACAGGATTTAATTTTGAGACTGTAAGTAGATAGCTTAATTTGTTTCTAATCAATATCACTCTGTTTCACATTATATTCAGTCTGGAGCTGGGATGAGATGAGGATGCAATCGACTCTGTTCGAAATCTAAGCTTTTATTCTGTTGTTCCATGTCATAGGTTATCAAGTTTTAATTAAAGCAAAAACATAATCCAGTAAGAAATATAGTCTTAGATGGCTTTTAGGCTCGTACCGGGCCATGGCAGGTCAAACTTTTCTCTCCTGTTTTTTCACACTGGCTGTCACACTCAACACAAAGCGAGCCATTGGCGTACTCTCGAACATCCCTAGAACAGACAGAGTACGATGTGTTATGAGCCATTTATTGAACATGTTATTTACAAAATGTAGTACATTCTACATGTTTAAAAACAAAATGTATATACCAAAATGCACTGAATGTTTGTTTGACAAATATGCAGTGTCTGCATGACATTGAAGGCCTTTGTACACAGTGACCAGGGGTTGCTGTGATTAAATCCAAATCTATGTCCATTAATGAAACAGACATATGAAGCCATACAAATCCATGGAAGTGGAAATAGCTGAAGGAGCTGTCAATACTACTCTCATTTGTTTCTGCTGTTGATGGTTTCATTGAGAGTATTCAAAAATACTTTCCAATAAGCAGGAAATAAGGAGGAAAGCTTGACGATGAAGTCCCGAAAGAAGTATCTATATGTATCTATATATATATACAGTGGTGTGAAAAAGTGTTGGCCCCCTTCCTGATTTCTTATTTTTTTGCATGTTTGTCACACTTTAATGTTTCAGATCATCAAACAAATTTAAATATTAGTAAAAGATAACACAAGTTATATATCTTCTACAGCTAGATGCTCTCTGCAGTCTCCCTTTTTTGGGTCCTCACCCCACTGGCACTCATTCACTACTTTAGAGGTTATGTATAATAAAAATGCATAAACATTTTCTCATAAAATGTGCAATGAATACAAGCTATATTTTCATCACCAAAGTATTTCTTAAATTCTTAACTAATTCTTGAATGACACAAACACATACACTGCATTTGCAAACAAAAGCCTAGCATTGGACATTTTGTATGTTCTTTTCAAGCTCGTTTCCATGTCTGCATGTTAATTTTTTCAGCCTGCCAGAAAAGTAAGAGAGTCTATTCCTTTGAGTTATAAATAGCATTAAAAGCATTTTGATCCTTTGATCTTGATAGTCTGATCATGATAGTCATACTGCAGAATATCTTTGGAGCGAGCGGCCTGTCTGAACAAATCTGCATTTGAAAAACACATTCATATTAAGGCAACTGCAAGCTTAAGTGGTTTAAGAAATAGAAGAGCAGGAAGACAGATTAAAAAAAAATAAAAAATAAAATAAAATAAGAAATAAGAAAAATAACTTTGAAGAAAAACAAGCTATATAGATAAGCAAACTGACACCACAAATGATCTGTTTGCACACATACTCACCCATAATATAAGTTACAGGACTTGACACATGTCCTTCCTCGACTAAAGTATTTGCATGAGAGACATTGGTCTGGACCGGGACCCCAGCATCCTGCCTCCGAACACAACGGATCACAAACCATCTGCTCGTTAGCTGGAAAAAAAACACACAGACGCATACAAAGGGAAAGAAAGAAACCACTGCAATTAGTTACTTCATTTGGAACTTTGACATCTCCATCCCGCAAATATCTATGTGAATTTGTTGTATTCATGAAATATTTATTATTCAGATTACCTTCAGAAAGTTTCTTGACAACAGCTAAAAGGATACTATTTAGCTATTAGTTACAATAGCTATCACTTATGAAATTCTTGACAGATAATGTTTTCATAAGAGGCAAATAGGTGTATTTATTGAAGTGAGTTAAAGCACAATGAAACGTGCGTTTGTTAAGCTGTGAGGCTGGTTTGTGAGTACTGGTTAATTTATATAGACTGTTTTTAGTGCCGGATGGCAATATTTAGAGAGCTGTGACCACATACTACTACTACTAATAATAATAATAAATACATGCATACATATATACATACATACATACATACAAACAATGCATTACTGTTCAAAAGTTTGTGGGTCAAAGAAATTTATACATTTATTCAGAAAAGTTGCATTAAATTGATTACTATTGTGATTGATTATATTTTAATCTATAATTGAATTTAATTTAATCTATTTTTTCCCTATTTTAGCAATGTGCACATAATAGCTCAAATTAAATAATCAGTTTTTTTTAAACAATATGTATTTAGATTTAATGAAAAATGTTTTAATTTGTGCATATACATAAATGTGCCCAACTTCATTTGCAACACTGAAGGGCAGTGTTACTGTACCTTAAACAGAACATGTTTCAAATTCACCAGCCACATAAAACAGTGATCCCTACTCCTCAATAGGGTTTGCAAACACATTTTCCTTCATGTATGAACACATTGCTTGTGTGTGAAAACACTGTGGGCATCTGTCTGGGCTGTTGGTCAGTTGTATAGATCAGTCCGCTTTGATCAATGGTGTGGAAAAGAGTCTAATGAATGAGTCAGCTAACAGAGCCATTGATCTCTCACGTTACAGACTTATTATCACACTAATTACATCCAGCTTGGCGGTGTACACTGGAAATAGCTCTCCGTCTGTTAACATCTTCATTAGCCCCACACGTTTAACTTTACAAGCAACATCTTACTTTAATGGCCTATTTCCAGTTTTAGGCTATCTTCAGTGATAGAGTTTGTGGCGTGGATAACTGTCCAAATATTGAAACACTGTGGGTCTGTATAAGATAAAAAGGCATATTTTTGGGCTACAGCAGTGAGAATATTGAAAAGGTTTTTTGTTTTTTTTGGAGAAACGTTTCTTATGCCCATCAAGACTGCATTTATTTGACCAAAATACAGTAAAAACAGTAAGATTAAGAAATATTATTACAATTTAAAAGAACTGTTTTCCATTTTAATATTTAAAAAAATATAATTTATTCAGTGTCACATGATCCTTCAGAAATCATTCTAATGTGCTGATTTGCTGTTCAAGAAACATTTATTCTTATTACCAATGTTGAAAACAGTTGTGCTGCCTAATATTTTTGTGGTAGCCAGTTTTTTTTTTTTTTGAGGATTCTTTGATGAATAAAAAGTTCAAAAGAACATTTATTTGAAATCAAAATATTTTGTAACATTATTAGCTACATGTATTTGTTGTCTCTTCTGATCAATATAATGCATCATTGCTAAATAAAAGTATCAATTTCTAAAAAAAAAACAAAAAAAACAATTATGTTCTGTTCTTTTATATCAATTACAAAATTCAATAAGACATAGAATGCAATTAAATTGGTTGTATTTCTAGTAGCAACTAAATTACAGAATATGATCCTCAATTTTCAGTCTAATCAAAGTCTATTTAGAGACTCACAAGTCTGATGGAAGCTTTTCAAGCAAATGTATCACTATGGGATTCCAAGTTTTTTTTAATTCTTGCTTCAAACATGACATCTTATTTAGAGGAAATCACAGTTACTGAACAGATGGAGGTGTAGATGAGAGCTGAAATTGAACGACACTCACTACACTCTCTGGGGTCCCTGTTGTTCTTGATCAGAGCTCTCTGGGTGCTGGTGCGGAACAGACTGGTCCAGTTCACTGTGTTGTAGAAGCAGAGCTGGCTGTTGTTGGTCATGTAGACGTTACCGGCGCTGATCTCTCTCAAAGACTGGAACTTCAGTGAAGAGATCCAGCGCTGCTTCAGGATCAGTAGAGAAATACCACTGAGAAAACAAAGCGGCAGACAGCAAATTTGGCTTCACTTTTCTTCACATTAATGCATGATATAATTGAGGACGTCTCTGATATATGACAACAATGGTACAGGAACCATTTTAAGTGCCACATCCTGAGGGAGTGAACATTTTCACTTGGATTTAATATGAAACAAGGGAATACTTAGAAGTAGTTAATGAGGACATGTATGAATATATTTAAAATAATATTTAAATCATTTAGAGTATGAGCAAATCTGTGAAATGTTTCAACCCAACATTGGACAGGGAAAGTACACTTGGGACAACAACACACAATTGCTAACCCTCTGATAGTACAAAGGCATATTAGATTTCACTAAACTTGTCCGGCAGTGCATTTTGGACATAGTTTTGTGAGTTGGGTGAGAAAAACAGACTTTACTCATGGTTAACATCAATCCACCCATATTTCAGCTACATAACTATGACAGAAAGTAATTTCATTTAGTCATTTAGCACAGGGTTTTGGTTGACAATGTTCTGAAATAATTTTCTAACCTTTCGTTAAATATATTAAATACTTAATGTAATAATAATAATTATTATTATTATTATAATTTTTACAAATGACAGAGAATTTTTTGTTTCAACCCAACATTGGACAGGGAAAGTACACTTGGGACAACAACACACAATTGCTAACCCTCTGATAGTACAAAGGCATATTAGATTTCACTAAACTTGTCCGGCAGTGCATTTTGGACATAGTTTTGTGAGTTGGGTGAGAAAAACAGACTTTACTCATGGTTAACATCAATCCACCCATATTTCAGCTACATAACTATGACAGAAAGTAATTTCATTTAGTCATTTAGCACAGGGTTTTGGTTGACAATGTTCTGAAATAATTTTCTAACCTTTCGTTAAATATATTAAATACTTAATGTAATAATAATAATTATTATTATTATTATAATTTTTACAAATGACAGAGAATTTTTTTTTTTTTTTTTATGTAAACATTTATTAAATAATATATTTTAATTGGCTATTTTCCATTAGCTATCAGTTATTAGGCACAATCATAAGACATTTACTGCAAGATTTTGCTGCACATGCTCTCAGGTGATAGCACATCTTCAGAGAGCATACAGATAAGTTCATACAAAAGGTACATACACTACTGTTGTGAATACGGTGATTATAACTTTTAACTAGAGCTACCAATTGTTTAAAATTTGTAATCTAATTAATGACACGATGTTGTGATTAATTAATCTAATTAATCGCATATTAACTGCACATCACATTTGTCTGAGAAATTACCCGCAAAAGATAATTTAAAGTCATTATTGTTTTACATGAGAAAAACATGAAATTGATATTAAAAAAAAAAAAAAAGTAGCTTTGGAAAGATTTTTTCTGCTTTTTAATTAATTAATTAATTCATTCATTTTTTTTTTTTTTTTTTTGGGGGGTGATTTATCCCTTTAATTGTTTTTATTAATATGGATTTGTATTTTTATTTGCAGTTTTTTTTTTATTAATGTGTAAATATGAAATATTTTTTAATGAAATTATACTCTAAATAAGAAACTACAACTGGCAGTATGTGGTAGTATTGATAAATAAGTCATTCATTCATACATTAACAGGCAATATTTTTGCTGGCAAAACTGAGAAAAACAGACAATATTTTGTCTAAAATATAAAACAACTTCTTATTTACTGAACTGCTGTATAAAATCAATATCACATTTGCACTCATGCTATTTGGGACAAAATAGCACTCCTGTGATACTGCTTTCGTTGTGTGATCTTCCTTAACTCTATCATATGATATAATCTCTTGAATTTTAGGGGCATATAACTGGATTCTATAGGCTACATCATGCCGTGAGTTGCTGCCCTGCATCATGTTCGTCACCAGCTTGAAGCGGTGCTGCGCAGACTGATCGGTGTATGAAATCAAAGTTAGTACTGTTAGAGCTATAAAGAGCAGGCTCTGTATGCTTTCAAATGGCTCTCACGGTACTTTGATGTCATACATGAGCGGTCTGAAGCGTTGCTTTAAGTCGAACACACCATATGAAATATAAGATGATGTGGGCCGGGGACGGTGCAGGCGCAATTAATTGTGTTAATTTTAACACATTATTTTTTCCCATAACTAATTAATTAGATTAACACTCTAAATCAGCAGCCCAACTTTTAACTAGAATTCTGTGCTGATTTACCTATAAAGAGAGCGTCCTCCAATGGTGGCAAGGTTTGAAAAAACAACAAGATCTGTCATGTTTTCTGGCCAAGACTGGATGTTCAAGAAACCTACAAAAACAGAGAAAAAAAATAAATAAATATGAATCATTTTAAAAACCATGAGTATAAAACAGATAAACAAATTTGTTACTATGACAGCAGACATTGGCTTAGGATATTGCCACAGGTCCAGTGAGTACAATATTATTTACAGCCTGTCTGACAGTATAAAACGACCCCATTACATTGAAATGAAAGTATATTAAGGGAAATGATTGTGTTAATTAAAAGAACGGTTTCCATTATCATCATTTCTTCAGATGCACATTGTTTTAATTATCATTTTGTTGGCTCGTATTGGGTGAAATGTGTCTAAACTGAGGGTACACCAATGGCGCACAAGAGAGCAGTTTCTGAGTTTCATTTTGAAAACGCTGCTTTGCTGCTTCACTCCATTAGCTATTTGGCACAATCATAAGAACAAGTTGAAAGTGACAAAAGGCTTTTAGCAATACTTTTTTTTCCTGAAATATTGTTAATCTTCATCGCTCAAAATTTGAAGGAATATCAGCTGTGGGTATACCATTGTTCAACTAATATGTTGGACAAAATATCCAAGGCATTTCAACAAAAGCCTTTATTTTGTGGAAAACAGAGTGATCAAAATTAGAGAACAGTAACCACTGTAGCACGAAAGAAGATCACAACAAAAATTTTGGAGGGTTACAGCTGTCATAGAAATTAGTAGGAAATGTAGAGACCCTTGCGTTGAATGACTTCAGCACATCTGTGGCCACAAGGACTTGTTGGCTCGTATTGGGTGAAATGTGTCTAAACTGAGGGTACACCAATGGCGCACAAGAGAGCAGTTTCTGAGTTTCATTTTGAAAACGCTGCTTTGCTGCTTCACTCCATTAGCTATTTGGCACAATCATAAGAACAAGTTGAAAGTGACAAAAGGCTTTTAGCATGAGTCATAGTTCATTCCTTTGAGGCTTTATAAACAAATAAATATTGTGTACCGTGTAAAGATAAGATATTTGTGACAAAGAATATTTCCCAACTCAAAGGGTAATGTTAATGTATGAAGAAATAAAGAAAGTTAATGGTTTCATGCAAGGCTACACAGGTTTAATGGGTTGTCATGTGATGAATGGTGACTGTCGCTCACCTGTGATCTCTCTGACGGTGCGGAATACATTTAACCGATCAGGGTCCAGAGCTTTTATACCATGAAACATGTCCCTGTTAAACATAAAACACAAAACAAGCTGAAAAGAGGTTATATATGTGTGTGATCTTGTGCATCTGTGGCCTAAAAGATTTTACACTCTTACACCAGTTTCAGAAACCTGCTCTTTGATTGCTTAAGAATCAAAGACCATGTTCACATCTCAAGACAAAGTGCCTAATTATAATTGCACAAATTAGATTTTATTGTGAGGACGTCAACTTTTTAAATGTGGTGCACATTAGATCCAAATGCGTAAAATGCCTAACCCTGGAATATTTATTTAGAATATATACTATATATATATATATATATATATATATATATATATATATTATTACAATGTATTGTATTATATTATTGTTTTAAATATTATCTTAAACATTATTTTAAATAAAAAGTCAATTA